TGCCATCTAGCAATCCTTCCAGAGAGCGCTTGCTTTTCAAACACATACTTGATCGAATCCATCTTCAATATCAGCATGTTTGTATGGTTCAGCATGTACTGTCTTAGACGTTTGGCAGCCCACGCCAATGCACAACACGTCTTTTCGAGCATAGAGTATCGAGATTCACAATCCGTGAACTTTTTACTCAAGTAGTAAATTGCATGCTCTTTCCTTCCTGTCTCGTCATGTTGACCGAGAACACAACCCATGCTGTTCTCAAGAACCGTCAGATACATAATCAGTGGTCGTCCCGCTACTGGGGGTATCAACACCGGAGGTTCCTGCAAGTATTCTTTTATCTTTTCAAATGCCCTTTGACAATTGTCGTTCCAGACCACCGCTTGATCTTTCTTTAACAGTTTGAACAAAGGTTCACACGTGGTCGTTAGGTGAGAGATGAACCTAGCAATGTAGTTCAATCTCCCTAAGAATCCACGGACTTCTTTTTCTGTTCTCGGTGCTGGAATCTCTTGTATTGCTTTTATTTTTGTCGGATCGACCTCGATTCCTTTCTTGCTCACAATGAACCCCAGTAGCTTCCCGGATCTCACTCCGAAGGTACACTTGTTAGGGTTCAGCCTCAGTCTGAACTTCCTCAGCCTCTTGAACAACTTCAGCAGATTAACCAGATGTTCTCCCTCTGTTTGAGACTTGGCAATCATGTCATCGACATACACCTCAATCTCTTTGTGCATCATGTCGTGAAAGAGCGTTGTCATAGCCCGCTGGTACGTTGCCCCAGCATTTTTCAAACCAAAGGGCATCACCTTATAACAGAAGGTTCCTCACGGGGTGATAAAGGTCGTTTTTTCCATATCTTCCGGAGCCATTTTGATCTGGTTGTACCCTGAAAATCCATCCATGAAAGAGAATACCAAAAACTGAGATGTATTGTCAACTAACACATCAATATGCGGTAGCGGGAAATCATCTTTCGGGCTCGCTTTGTTTAGATCCCTATAATCAACACACATTCGAAACTTGCCATCTTTCTTTGGCACAGGCACGATATTAGCGACCCAAGTGGGATAAGTAGTGACAGCCAGGAACCCAGCACCTCATTGCTTCTGCACTTCTTCCTTTATCTTTACAGCCATGTCAGGACGAGTCCTTCTGAGTTTCTGCTTCACAGGCGGGCAATCTTCCCTCAACAGCAGACGATGAACAACCATATCGGTATCCAAACCCGGCATGTCCTCGTAGGACCAAGCAAATATATCACTGTATTCGCGCAGCATCTCAATAAACTCTTGCTTGATGTCAACCTGCAACGCGGCCCCTATACGGATGTTCCTGACACATTCTTCAGACCCTAAATTGACAATATCAATCTCTTCCTGGTGAGGCAGAATGGCTCTCTCCTCTTGCTTCAACAACCGACTCAACTCTTCTGATAAGTCACTATCCTCAACAATCTCCTCCTCAGCTTGGAAGATCGGATGCTCGAAGTCTAAATGAGTCATAGGAAGTCTTTGGTCGATGTCATCTGAAAATTCATGAATCCTGCGAGGGAAACAGTTAAGTGCTTCAAAATGATATACAAGCAAAATACATAACCACGCTGCCATTTTATTGAAAAATAAAAAACAGAAAGAAAAGGATCACAACATTTGAATGTAAAAAAACATCGTCATTTATTGATCATGCAAACATACAGGTAAATAATTAGGCCCTAAAACGAGGTCAGCGATGCCCCGGGCAAGGCATGCGATCATACAATGATTGAAAAAACAACACATTACTGTTTGGTGACTTGGATGACGTCCTGGATGGACCAGTTGCATAGACTTTGTCCCGGCGTGCTAGGTCGAATCCATGCGTCCATGTCGCAGTCGCTATCCACTTCCTCTGTATCAGACACGACACTAATCCTTTCAAAGCTAACCCCTCCGGGCGTGAACACCACAGGTCCCTTGTACTTAGGCGCACTCTGTGAGGGAGATGGGCGGTACCCCAAGCCATACCTATCTTGCTTCACTAGTATGTCCAGAACCTGCCCCCACTTCTGAGTCTCTCCTGCTTGCACCAACGCCTTGGCTTCTTTATATGAGGAGACGGCCACCTCTTGCCCTTCACTCTTCACCGGAGCTTCTTCTTTAACCTTCACCCCTTCGAACGCCTGACACAGCGTTTCATGAATCTCTCCATCTACCTCCACGTATTTGAAGGAAGACAAATGACTGACTAAGATATCCTCTTCGCCACACACCGTCACAATACTCCCCTCAACCATTTACTTCAGCTTCTGATGGAGCGTAGAAGTTACTGCCCCAGCGGCATGAATCCAAGGTCTCCCGATCAAACAACTATATGCAGGTTGGATGTCCATGATGTAAAACACTGTATCAAACACCTCCGGACCTACCTGGATGGGTAACGTTACGGACCCGAATACCGACCTCCTTGTTCCGTCAAAGGCCCTCACCACCAAATCACTAGGTGTGCACAACAACCCACGGGTATCCAATTTCAACAGGGATTTCTTTGGTAACACATTCAACGAGGACCCAGTGTCCACCAGCACATGGGATAAAATAGTGCCCCGACATTCAATAGAGATGTGCAAGGCATTATTGTGAT